TGTAGCAGAGCACTTGCATAATTTGATATTGACATTCATGGTGTTGGTTTTGCTACCACAACTAAGACTGTCACTCAGATGCCAGAATGTCCAGTCAGCTTCATGATCTTTTGTCTTCAGCTGACCAACAGACAACATGTAACAGTCATCATCAGTGCATGAGTAATGATGAAACAAAGAAGAGTTTGATTATAAACCTGATCAAATCTTATTATCTGTCCCTGAAGATATGATAAGTCTTCATGATGGTTTCAGTGGTAGTGTGGGCAGAGATTCTGAGCTATGGAAAGGAACATTTGGAAAGAAAGGGAAAGTCAATTCCAGTGGAATTCTTCTCTTGAGCAAGTTTTTAAAACATGATTTCATAATCACGAACTCATTCCACCAAAGCAACAAATGGAAGGCAAGATGGGTGCAGCCCTGCACAAAACACTGGCACTTGATTGTCCAAGACAGTGTTTTCCCAGATCCTTTTAATATCTGTATCACCAGTGCTATGACCAGCACAGATGACAGATCACTGCTTGATGCGTTCTTTCATGTCCATTTGTATTGCTCTAAAATGACGCAACCAAAAGAAGCAAGGAAGAGGTTCAATATTGAGTGCTTAAAAGACCCTGATAAAAGTGATCACTTCTAGCAGTGCTGCAGTGAAAAACTCTTTGACCTCCCTGATGATCTTGATCACACTGATCACTAGAAAAACCTTGAGAAAGTCATCCTTGAGGCAGCTAGGCTTCTCCATATCATGGGTAGCCAAGTCTAGGGGTTTCTTGGGGTGGAAGGGACAATGAGGGTTGGTAGGAGGGAGCAGAATCCACGTGTAAGGGTCCTATACTGCAGCCTGGGTCAGCTCTGTAAGGCTTAGGCAGCCTTTTGCCCTGCAGCCCTTGTTAAGTGCACTGACTCAGTTGCTACCAATCATGGCCAGCTGACCCCCAGCCCCTTCCCTCTGGTTCTGGAACTGCATTAAGGAACTGCTCCAGAACCTGAGCCTTGCTGCATAGCACACTGCTCTTCACTCAGTGCAGCTCCTGTCCCAGTAACTTCTCTGGCTTACCTGGTTCTTGACCCTGCCTTTGGATTCTCCCTGGAGACCTGTTTCCTGACTTCTGACCCCAGCATAGCTTACTCTTGGACTTTGCCCTGTGTATTATCCTTCAGACTTAATAACTAGGTTTCTGATTCCTGGCTCCTGATCCTGGTTTAGCATTTTGAATCCTGACTTGTGGCTCCTGACCCTTATCCTGGGGCCCCTGCTCCATGCCTGGTTCTGTCTACTAGGCATGCTGGCCTGGTGGACTGTGACAGCAGGTATGAAGAAGTCAGGAAGCCAGAAGGTCAGTCAAAGAAGCCAAGTCAGGAAGCCAGAGGGTCAGGTAGAGCATAGAGTCAGTGGGTAAACCAGGTTAAGTAGCCAGGAGAGCAAGCAAAGAACTGGGGAAAAGCTAAAGTGTCAGGCAGAGCATGGAGTCAGAGCATGAGCCAGGTTAGATAACCAAGAGATCAAGTGGAGAGCAGGTAGATGCACAAGCCATAAAGAACAGTGAGGTAATTTTAGTCAGAGTTGAGCCCTGTTATCCAGATGCTGCGTCTTTGGGGTCAGTGGAGGGGAGTGATGGGTTAGCTGATCCTGGCCAGCCATTCTAGGGAGTGGGCTGAAGATTAGATCCAAATAGAGGTTTCTGGCCAACTTGCTCTGCCTGTATGGTCAAGTGGGGAGGAGGCAGACTGGGATGAGTGGCCATTCTGGGAAGGCTGAGACTCCAGGTTTGAAGCCACAGCCTAACACTGCAGAAGGAAACATCAGGACTGACCTGGTGAGAATGACCAGAAAACATAAACTCTCATTGACAGAGAAAGGGGAGCCCTCAAAGCTTGGCAGAATGATATTAACTTAAGCAAAAGCAAGACACTTATTGCCACATTAAAGCCAAGACCCAAAGGAAAATTTAAGAGCAAAAGAACCAGTGGTGAGAGGACAAAAGAGATTTGGAAGCTTGCCGACAGCTTCGACATGCATAGTTTCTTCAGCACAAATGAAACTATCTATGAGCCAAACACACATGGAGCCATTGCTCTGAGGTCCAAGGATGGAACAACACTCTTTAAAGACAGCTCCATCATCAATGCACAGGAGAAGTACTTTCAAAAGCTCCTGAATCAAGATTCTAATGTTGGAGGCAATGTGATCAAAGCCATTCCACAACACCCCATTAAGCTGACCTTGCAGATCCACCAACTTTCAAGAGGCCTTGAAAGCCATTAAGCAGATGAAGAACAACAAAGCACATGGCCTTTATGGAATACCAGCTGAAATTTATAAGCAATGTGGGAAAAAAAGCTCTCACCCACTATATACCGTTCTCATGAAAATCTGGAAATGTGAACAGATTCCTAGTGACTTGAGAGATGCCAGAATCTTTACCATATTCAAGAAATAAGATATATCACATTGTAGCAGTTACCATGGTATTGCACTCTTGTCCATGGCTGGGACAATCCTCACCCACATTCTTCTCAATAGACTCAATTCCCTCATTGAGATTTTACCCAAGTCCCAACATAGTTTCAGACCACTCAGAGTTACAGTTGATATGATCTTTGTTGCTAGATGGTTGCAGAAGTGCAGCAAGCAATGCTAAGACCTTTACATGGCCTTCGTTGTCCTCGAATCTCTTCAGGTCACCTTGAAGGCCCATCTGAAGAAATGTGATACTAACATTAATACCTCGGAGACTCAAGCACTGAATTATTCCTAGTGGTGCTGTGATGTACATCGAGGCATCAGCCATTTTGAGCAAACTCACCTCTCTGGAGATGGATAGATGAGAGACAAAGGGAAAGACCTGTGACTTGACATCACTAGCTTCTGCTCCTTCCTCCCAGAACTATTTGCCATGTCTGCAGTTGAACATGCAGATTGTGGATTGGCTTCCTCAATTGTCTATGGACTCACTGATGGAAGACTGTCACTCTCATATTGGGGGACTGCTGATGACACTGGTGATGATCCTTGGCATGCCTGTACAGTGCTCATTACTCCTAAAGGCAGCTGTCAAAGGTATACCCACTTCACACAATTTGTGATATCCCCTGCACAAAGAACAGACTAGGTGCAAAGGATTCTGGCTTGCCTACAGAGGGAAGTTCTTGTATCAGTGTGATAGTGTGAATTTAAAGTATTATGTTCCCCAGGTGGACACTTTTATTCCTGTTTAGCTTACAGGCAGTCCTTGACTTACAACATTTCAAGTTACAACATTTTGCACTTACAACATTTATAAATTGACACCCTGTTTCAACTTTATGATGTCAGTTTCGACTTTACAAGGCTTGATCCGATGCAACGCCATGCCATGCCAGTGAACAAGTTAGCTGCGTCACTCATCTCCCTGGAGAACATCTGTCCAAACTTCCTTGGACACTTTCTTTAGAAAAGCAGACAAGACTCCAGAAAAACCTGCAACCAAGACTCCTGAGAAGACTACAGCTGAAAGCCTTTCAAAAAGTCCAGCAGTCACCTCAAAGAAGTTCTTCCAAATCAATGATTGCTATTTACAATATAAATACATTAATGTAGCTATATTACTCATCTATAATTGATTTGAGTAAAAAATTCTGGGGTATTTTTGGTGGAAATAGGGTATCAGGCTTCGGTTCAGGAACAATCCCCCATTTATAACGTTGTTTCTTATGAGAAAACTGGTTCTGAGTTGCAACGCTTTGATGTACGACACAGTTGGTTTCTGAAAACCGTGTCTTAAGTCAGAGGACTGCTGTATATCACTTTGGAAGTAGTTGAAGATAACAATTTACTGGGAGCATCTGCATGCTCATTAATGTGCTTTTACTACTGTGCATTAATTTTAGTACCTCTAATATGAGGTACTACATAAAGGGTCTATCTACACATTCATTAATGTGCAGTAGTTGCTATACATTTAATTTCGTACTTGTATAATCACGTACAAAATAAATGCGCAATAACCGGAGTTACTGCATGGTAGTGCCAGTGAATGTTTTTAGTGAAGCCACTGTGCAGTAGCCTACTAATACCATGCAGTAGTGTAATAGCACTGTTTGTGATGTGACAAGCTACTGTACAGTATTATTAGGCTCCTGCGCAGTTAACATAGCTTGGCGATGCACCCAAAGGTGCATTAAACCATGCTACTGTGCAGTAGCAAAGGCAAATGGTTGTTTTTTTATATGCTTAATGTGCAGTAGACTAATTCTACTGCACATTAGCACATTTTTTGCTCATGTGCAGAACAGTCCACTGTGCATTAAGGCATGTTGTGCAGATACACCCATTGAGAGGTAAATGCAACCAGGGATGCTACCTGCTATAAGATAAGTGTTGGAAACTGAACAGATGGTACACTTAATCCTATACTCCTGCTCTTCAGTAGATGCAAAATGGTCAAGAGTGCAGGATACCCACAGGTCACTTCTGGCTATCTGCACTGTTAAGGTATTTATTTTCATTTATTATAGATTCTGGCTAAATGCCATGCTCCCAAAGACGACATAACAGACATACACCCATAATATAAATACGTTTGAACAAAGTAACCAAACTACCAGTATTATAACATTGTTAGAGTAAACAAAGTCTCTGAGCTAGCTTCAGCCCTGTGTTGCACCACCCTGACACAGCATCTGCTCAGAGGCAGGGCTGTGCTTGTGAACCCGATGGTTCAATACTCTCTTGCTGGAAGTGCCCACAGCTTCCCTGTTGCTGTGGGTGGGGAGAAATCCTGGCCAGGACATCACTAGCTCCCAAGACAGAAAGAGAGGGGTCAGTTTCTGTGCAGGCCCTGTTGGGACTGAAAGCTGCTTTCCCTCACAGTGGCTCCCAGAAAGCTTGGAGTGAAAAGCCTGTTTTCTGGGCTGAGACTGAGTCCTCTGGGGCACAGCAGCCCTGCTAGAAGTGTGCAGCAGTGTTGAAAGGACTGCACATATTTTTTCTTCCTGAAAAAATATATATATATGACATCAAGCAAAAGCTTTTCTTCACACACCTTAAGCCACATTGAAAGCCTGCGCAGTTACAATAAATGCCACCCACAGACCTATGCTCCTATTCAGTCCTTTCCCTAACCCAAGCGCAGTCTTAGTCCTAGCCCTGATGTTGGGGTTTACATTCTGTTCATCCCCTGGTGGTGTTGCTGTTACTGTCACTTCTGCTGCCACTATCAGTGTCCCTCAGATCTGCTTGCTGCTCACCTTGCAGCAGTTTCATTTTCCACTCCACCGACCGTCCCACAATGCCCCACCAGAGAGCTGGGGTCAGGGGAATCACAGAAGAAAGGGGGGTGAGGGGTGGGAGAGGGATGTCCGGCTGTCAACCCCCGCAGGCGGGGTGCCTGCCCGGCAGCTTTCACTGCTGTTGGACTCGCTTGAAACGGGTCTTTGCGGCCAGCCTGTGGGTTGCTGCCCCAGCAAGAGCGCCGGCTCGCGGCCCCTGTACTGTGCGGTGCAAGCAGGGTCCCTGTGGCCGCACACTGGGGCGCGGGGAGTTGGGGTGGGGCCTCGGAGCGGGACACCCAGCTTCGGTTGGGGCAGGAACAGGTCGCCCCGACCCTCTTCCTCCGCGCGCGAAGGGCGGCTCCCGCCTGCGCCGAATTTAAACTGCGCGACTCTGCCTCGCGCAAAGCACTGCTGCTGGTGGAACCCGCGTGCCGCTCCCTTCCCAGCCATGCAGCCAATCGCCGCGCGGCTTCGTTCCTGCCCCGGCCAATCCAGACGCGCTTTATTGCGGGTCGGCCGAAGCGGTCTGGTTGCGCGCGCCGCGGAGCCGGGGCCGTTGGCGCGGGGCTGAGGCGAGTTCCACCCCCACCCTTCTCCTCCTTCTCGCAGCGCCCGCCCCGCCTTCTCCTCCCCTTTGTTGGCGTCTCTCCGGCCGGGCGGGCGAGCGAGCGGCGCCGGCCATGCCCGAGTTCCTGGCCGACCCGTCGGTGCTGACCAAGGAGAAGCTGAAGAGCGAGCTGCTGGCCAACAATGTGAGCCTGCCGGGCGGCGAGCAGCGCAAGGACGTCTACGTGCAGCTCTACCTGCAGCATCTCACGGCGCGCAACGCACTCGCGCCCGGCCCCGGGCCCGGCCCACCCGACTTCTCCAGCGACGAGGAGCGCGAGCCCACTCCTCTCGGCGCCCGCGGCAGGGGGGACGGCGCTGCCGCCAGCCGGGTAAGAGCTCCCTCCCGCGCCGAGCCGGCAGGTGGCCGCGGTGTAACCCGAGAGCGGATGGCCGCGCTTTCCCGCCCGAATAGAGCCGCCCCTCCCCCACCCCCGCTGCGCCCGGCTCCCGGCGCGGCCTCCCACGTGCGGCCCCGCCCCCGCGGTCTGCCCGAGTGGGGGATCACGGGCGCGGGCTGCTCCCAGCAAACGGCCGCCGCGGCGGTGCCGCTATGCTGAGCTGCCCGTGGCAGGAATAAAAAAGTTGATGAAAGAGAAGAAGGTCCTTCCCCGCCGGCCTCCCCGGGAGTGGGGACGGTGCAGGCGGCTGTAAAAGGGACAGGGAGGAAGAGGGGACTGGTCCTGTGGTGGCACACTTCTGCTTAGCTTAGGGAACGAGTCCTGCTGGGCCTTTCTGTCCAGGGAGCACCTGGTCCTTGTGGGACTTAACCTGCTTCTTTCTGAGTTCTCTTCCCCATGGTTAGCTGCTCTTTGCAGCCATCCGGCTGTTTCAGATTGGTTCTCACGCGGGTATCTGTTAGTTTCCTGGTACCCTCCCATGCTTACAGGGAAAGAGAGGAAAGCTTTGATTTATCTTAAATGGAGGAAGCTCTTTAGAAAGCTTGTAATCTAAAGCAGCGGGTCCCAGTCTGGCACAGGCACCACCAGTGGTACGCAGACAACCTGTCAGTGGCACGTATTAACAGATTTATTATAATTACTTTATATGACAAAAATTTGCTGGTGGTGTTTAAGGTTGAACTGAAAAAAATGCTGGTGGTACTTAAGGTTGTCTAATTTTAAATTGGTGGTGCACAAGCTGTCACTTTGGGAGCTGCTGATCTAAAGTGTAACCAGGTCTGTTGTGTGAAAATTTTTGCAACAATTCATTGCTACATTGGTGCAGTTTGTAATACTATCTATTCAGACCTGTTTGAGGCAAGAGGTCTGAAAGAGAGAGGGTATTTCTCATTTGTTAGGCTGGTTAACTGAGTTTTTTG